ACAATTTCGACTCACCAATATCGAATATTGAACCAATAGTTTTTATTTCTCCCTATGTATATTTCTGTATTCTTAAATGCGTGCTGTGATATGACAGTGTATTCTTCCCCGACTAGTTTCATTAATTTATGTTTCACGAGTTGTATGTGTAACATAATTTATAGTAAAAGTGGTACAATATTAGATATACTTATAAGTTATAAGTTATAATCATTAATTATGTACATATAGCTGCCCCTGGAACCCTGTACAATATTTTTTTGTTATTTCGGAGAGCGTGCTCGTCGTATACCATAATTGTTACAGAACAACGACGAAATCGCCAGTGAATTCGAAGATATTAAAAATTCGCGTCATTTTGGGTGTGCTTGCAGAGCATCTCCCGACAATTGGGACTCTAAAAGTTCAGCTTTGAATCAGAGCCGTATTTTATCAGTTGTTATATATTTTATTTATTATACAGATTAGTAAAAATATTTATCAAATTAAAGTAATTTTAAATCGTCATTTACTTATCTAGTCCTTCTGTAAAAACCTATAGTACAGTATTACAGTCTACAGTATATCAAATTTATTAGCTTTATATTGTATACTATAAGATGTGCAGATCGGCAAAAACCTGCCGTTTCTATTCAAACTTTAACGCTCGCAGTTTGAAACTGTCAAGAAAAATGCATGCACGTATACCTAACTCGGTATTGTCAACCAAAGTCGATTTTTTTGGCACGCAATTTGGATACAGACGCCTATCAGATTTAGATATCATGTATCAAGTATTAAACAAGTTCAATAGGTAGTGGTAAAGAGCTATTATAGGTTTTGCTACGTGCTCAGCCTTCGCCTTTTACATTACATATAATATTTAAATTATTTTGTCGTATAATGGACCCAAGAAAAGCAATACATTTTAATATGACTATATATTTTTCTTCAGTGATCTTTTCTCTAATAACGTATTCATAATAAAACAAATCCTTTGTAATTTTAAATTGCAGACAGAACTAAGTATTTAATAGTATGAGCTTTATTCGTTATATTTTATTTTATTTTATTGTTTGTGTTGTAATGCAATGGTTGAGACTTGAGATATAATAGTTGATATTATGTTAAAATCTCATAAAAAAATTTATAAAAAAGAGAATCTAAACTACTTTATGTATACTGATATAAGTGTATAACTAGAAACGAGTAAGTCAGCCATATAGGTAGAGGGTTTCAGATGTTGATAATGATGTTTATAAATTACGTTGTACATCGTTTTCAGACCTAAACCGGGAAAATAAAAGTAGGTATATAATATTGTGTACACAGGAACCATTTTAAGTGCCTACCCACCGCCAGTGGGTGGAATTGCCTCAAATCTCGTACAACAATATTAATAATATTATTCCTTGGGTAAATTCCATTAAGACCAAACTACGCATTTAGGCATTTAAACGACGTGGTCGCATTCCGAGCACACACACACGCGCGTGCACGCAGACGTAAAAGTAGTTCCGCGTCACCGCACATGCCACACATAGACCAAGTATGGGTTTTCACCCCTGTTGTTGTAAGACCCCTGTGGTTTTTTTGTATCCACCCATATGATTATATTATATGTGTAGCCATATTTTGTGAAGATTACGAAGATCTTTCGAACCATTATGTTATGAATTATATTATATAAATGTTGTACGTCAACAACAAGAACGATTTTTTTTTTAAACCGTCGTCATCTTTTATTTAATGGTTTTTATGGTGTTCTGTACAGTGCTTATTTTTCTGAATATTGTATAGAATTTCTGACATGATATATTATTATATAATATAGGTACTCCTTCCGATATAGTAAGTACATACAACATACGAATAGTGCCGCAGTGGCCGTGTTATATCTATAAAAACCCCCAACGAGTATATAGTTACAGCAACTGTACAATGAATGTATGGAATGTGCTCTCATCTAGATAATAAAATATCAGAGTTATAAAATATATTATATATCCCTTCCCATATCCCATGTATATTTTTGTTGTCTGTGCTCACTATTCACTATTCTATGTATAACAAACAATAATAAAGGTTTTTTTGTAACCGTTATTTCGGGCTTTGACTGCTTTCAACAATCATCATTCTTCACTAAGCCTACAAAATTATTTTTCTGCATGAAGACGATATACATACCTTTGTTAAACGTAGGTATATGCGGTATAGATACCATGCATTTTAAACGTGAATAATTCCAAGCAAAGAAGTAGTATCAAACGCATGCTAAATGCTAATCAAAAATTCAGTAACTAACCACAGTATACAGTAATTTTGCATATTATTGGTTTACATGCGGTTTACTTTCGTTTAATATTGATAATAATTTTACAGTCGTATTTATAAGTAAGTCAAGTCAGTGATAAGTAATCATTATAAAATGAGCAGTTTCAAAAAGGCCATAGCTTACTTAAAAATTATAGTATCAATAAAAGCCTACTTGGGGCCATAAAATGATACATTGGAGTGTATAGCTATTATTAAAAATACAATTTTAATAACTTTTCACTGTTGTATATAATAGATAGATGAAGGTAATAAGAATCGTAATGGGTATAGGTATCAAAGTCAAGCTCAATGTATTATAGTTAATTTTTATGTTTATAAAACACTAAAACAGAATTTATTAGTTTATAAGATATGGTATACGTAGGTATATAGTAGGTATACCGTGCCTATATATTAGATATGTCGGTATTCTACATAAGTATATAGGCTCGGCCAATTTAGCACGAGATATATCTATACACACGAACTACTTAACTATATTACATCCTAGTCAGGCTGGTGATGATATTTTAGCCATCGTCACACACTATATACTCATACGTAAAATCCACAGTCAATTTAGAACACTGATATAATATAGGTACATATGATAATGAACCTAGGTAATGAAGCCAGAGCGGCCCTCCCTGAAAAATCCCTGACTGGTCCACCGGGCCGGCACTGAAATTTTATGAATGTATTAAAATTTACATAAAAACCTAGTTATTATTAATAATTTTCATTATCTTTTGTAACGTACGAGGAGAAAATATAAATGCATAATGTGGAAGTATACAATAACTGATAAGTAAGAGTAAGTATAAGAGTATAATATTATTTCTAAAAAAACATAATATTATATATCGAAGTGCCTCAATTGGCCCTACCAAGTATAAAATCCTGGCACCGCCACTTTTAATACTTTATAATGTATAATGCTGTATTGACCTTGGGCGGATCGTATAGCCTACAGCAGGCGGTTGGTGACAGACTGGCGCGGGCGAGACGGTCGTTGTAAGTATCTAAATGGTTTATGAATTATAGGCATACACTGCAGTAGAGCTATTATATAGTAATAGTAGTATATATATATTTTATATTACAATGCGTTATAGAAATTGTGAAATAAGCATTAAGGACAATCGACCATACCGGATGTCCTTAAACAAGGGTTTTGGGATAAAATACCCAAGGACAAAATACCATCCTACACTAAAATATCCAAGGACAAAATATCATGTGGTAGGTACTAAAATATCCAAGAGAAAAATATCATCCTGTTCTAAAATATCCAACGAATATAAAAAAGATGTAAAATTCCTCAATGAATTAGAAAAAAATATTCAAATTAAAAAAAAAATTCACATATGAAATAATTAAATACTAAAGAGATAGTATAAAATAATAATTTCATTATTCATTATTAAACTGTATTCAACATGTAAACAACATTCTAGTTTGTGATGATTGCCAAGCGTCAATTATAAATCATAATAAATATTATTATCTTAATTGAGTCTTTTTTTTCTTTCGTTACTTATGGTACTTAATTTCGTTAGTAACTGCACTTGTCACTTAATCATTCAAGCATTTGGATATTAATAAAAATATGCACATGGATATCTCAACCGACGAAACCAGAAATAATTCAAAAAGCAGGGACGTTCAAAAAAATTGTCAGTGTACATTTTAAATATAATATTTATAAAGTTATCGACTATCATACTTTGCAGATATTATAATATATTATTATGTAAGAATATATCAAAATTATAACAATGTTTTCCTATAATTAAAATTGATATTAATTTTTATAATGAATACGAGGAAAATATAAAAACATGAGTGGTTATGCTTTTGCTTATCGCCTATATATACCTGGTCACCTGGATATAAGAGTAAATCAAATAAATAATGCCTAACCGTTTTCACAGTCTGCGAGTGCATATATGAAATAGTATGACCTTATGGTGTGCACAGTGCAGTGCTATGATATTCCAAGTTTTCCAACTACAAATCTTAAACGAGCTAACTATTTCGTAGTCGTAAGAAATTGCTCTCTCTATCACAAATACTTGCAAATGGAGCTCGCATATGAAGGTTCAGCGAACACTTTCCCGTTGTTTTCCGTGGAAAATCAATAGGGGTTTTTCCATGACAGTGGTAGAATTTTTATTTTGTAAACCATCAAAGCACCGTGGAGACCAACATTATATTGCACGTGCATCATACGCAATAGGAACAATATTAATAATTAATATATATTATAATAATGAATACTCAAAGCAAAACTATGGGTATTAGTGCATGAAATACCCACAGTCGCAGCCACAGTTTTTAATTTTTGTTACCACTTACTAATGTAAGTTTGTCACATTATTCTATAAGTCATTCCACAACATGAAATATTACTCATTAGTAAATATAATAAATAATTAAGTACATCAACCACTATTATATACGCACACCGCCTATTGCCTTATCTATTATATTATTACGTATTTCTCCAGACTCCAGTATATCAGTATATATTTATAATATAATACATATTATATAATATTTATTATTATATCTTTGGCAACCAATGAAATACGTATAGTGTATACTTATGAGTAAGTAATGGTATAGCCGGTAGAATAGTGGGGGCACCCGTGCACCAACCACACGAAAACTGTATTTTGTTTACACACGCATACCTACCAATTTCTTTTGCCATGCATTCGAACGTGTACCGATGTATCGTCACAGTCCACTTGCGATCGCGCTTGCCCATGTAGTATTTTGGATTTTTCCAAAACGATTTTGATTTTGATCTTAATATTTGTATTTGTATTTTTTAATATTCCGATATTATTTTTCTTTCATAAAGACTACGTTGCTTGTAAAATACGGCATCTATACTATATAAATTAAAAAGTGCATATTAAATTCATAAATTATACGAAATAGTTTTTTAAAAATATTTTTTTTTGACTGAGAAAAAAACTACGAAGAAAATACACTCAGGTAAATATTTATTTATATGAATTTCAACTTTTATTAAAGTTTATTAATTTGCGGTAAAATAGTTCTACTGATTGTAGTCTGCAATAGTAATAGAAATAGTAGAGGTAAACTGAATGTTTCGGTGAATACTGTGAATAGTATAGGATCTTACTCGAGTATTTAAATCGTTTCATTATTTTTTGATTAATTAATCAATTTACTTACTAAATATGTGTGTGTTTGTTTGTGTAATATATCGTGTTTGAATTGATAGTAATAATAAAAAAAAAATACCGTTTCCCGTTATATTAATATTGAACGCTATAATTGATTGACTGTTTAACGTTATAAATAATTTAAACGTTACTCAAATTATGCGTTTACACGTTTTACAAACTTAAAAGTTATTCTATTACTATACTAAATATTGTATAGTTTGAATAAGTCAAATAGAAAAATAAAAAAAAAGTTATTCAATTTATGCGTTATGCTTTATTGACAATTAAAACGTTATGAACAATTTATCGTTTTACGTTTAAAAATTATTTGAATTCTATTTAGATTTATTTTATTTTAATTAGGTACCTAGTATTTTAAGTATTAGTTTTACAAAAATTACCAAATCAATTTTACTGATATTTATAATTTTATAAATAATTGTATTCTCCCGACGTAATATGTCAACCATTAATCGTTTTCTGATACTCTATTATTCGATATTAATAATTATAATTATTGTTCATCGTTTAGTTTCGTTATCTTGTATCCGTTGAAAGTTTTCGATCGTTTATCGTTTACGAAGTTATCCGTTATCGATTTCAATCGTTTTTGAATCGTTTAACGTTATAAAAACGTTTTGATGCTTTGAATTTGCTATACAAATTTTTTATGCATTTTTATTTCACCATCATGTTTAAACCTGATCATTATCGTTTATAAACTTTGATACAGATACCTAAATTAGTGAAGCGAAAAAAATTAATTTAATTATTTCTAATTATAGCTACATATTGTAAAACGATGTGAGGTTAATTTCAGAAGCTTTTTGGTATTATTTCTAGGAGTTATTTGAGATAGGTTCATTAATAAATTATTTTTAATAAATGACAACATTATTTTCTACAAAAAACACATAATGGTACCTTACTAGTTTTTTATAATTAGGTATATATTATTTTTAAAGTAACGTAATTTGTATGTATTTGGGAGTAAACAACTAAGAATTTTTAGTTTTGACTTATAAACCTATTCGTACCAAAACAAGGGTGGATAATGCTATAATATGATCATATATGTTTTGAAAACTGTTATAGGTATTTCAATAAAATATAAATAAAACAATAAAAAATATAATATTTGAATGCCTGTAGATAGATTAGTAGAATAAGAAGTAAGAACAACAGTAAATACATAATTAATATGATTAATTTTATGATTAATTGTATTATCTGGTTTTAATATAAAAGTAAAATGATTTTACTAAAATGGGCATATCGCACCAATATTTCATTTAAGAAATATGGAACAAAATTAAAATTTAAAAATTATCGTTATAGGGAATACGCCTTTATAATAAATTCATAATAATCAAAACAAAATTTGTCAATGTCAATACAACCTATTTTCAGTCTTCAAATTGTAAATAGGTGATTCAAAAATTATTACCTACGTAGGTATGTACTTATACCTAAGTTATAAAAACAATATCCGGAATAAATAGTTCTTTTTTTGCTATATAGATCAGAATGCGATATCTATGCCGGGATGTATATTATATTCTCACGTGCCATTTCTACTAATAACAAAAATAATTGTCCTTATTAATTCTTATTTTAAAAATCCTATACACATAAAATTATCATTAAAATGTAATTGTATTTTTATTAATAGATACTATTAAAATGTGGAATTTCTCAATTAGTACAAATAAATAATTAACATTTGTATATAGATACGAATTCCCCCATTAAACTGAAACATAGTTTTCTTTTTTAATTGCTTAAAAAAATTATTTTTTCACTATGAAAACGAAATTTGTATTATTGCGCTATTTATATCTTATCGTTTATTATTACTATGATAAAATATATTTTAAGTTTATTACGACACTTAAAGTGTCCCAAGCACACGGAGCTTTTCGATTTAAGACAACGGCAAAAATATTGATAACAGTTTTAGTATTATCAATTTATCATATAACCAGTGAAGCAATAACTCTTAGAATATAAATATCATTGAAACTGGTAGATACGGCAAATTAAACAGTGGAGACTAAACATTTTATAGTGTTATAATTCATTTTTTTGTAGGTAATAAAAAATAAGAAAAAAATGTTTTCGATTCACCTCAAATATAATCTATAATTAACCAGTTGTACGATAACCAGTTAATTATTATACAATATAGGTACATATTATTCGTATGCAATCAACATTTAGATAAATGCATTTCTATGGTTTTGTCGTTTGCAGACAAATTAAATTTAAATTAACTTTGTGTTGATTTGTTTAACACGGTCCTAAGGTAGTTTATAACACAAAACGACACTATATTATCTATGAAAAATCAAAAATACAATCGACCCGTGACCATTGTAAAATTCACTAAGTGTACTTCATATTTCAAATATTTGTAAAATAAAATTATATATAATTAATATTATAATATTTATTTTTACTACTGTTGAATACTGGTATGGTATGTAATGGAAAATATTAGGTAATCGATTATGTTTTAGTTACGGGCTATTTTTCTTAAGATACCTATAACTTATAAGTAATACATACATGCATAAATCTAACCTATACTTCATTTGAATTTAGATGTTTACATGTTAAATATTTCATCATGTGGGTACCTATAGGCTATAATCTATATTATTAATATTTATTGTCAATATAAAGGCAGATGTAAAGTTGGACATACTAATATAGGCAGGTACTATATACTTTCTAATGTAACGTTAACTTTTTGGTTATGATTCTTTATGATTTCAAATTTAAATTTAAAAAATAATGTATGTACCTATATTACGCGAAGACTTATCTCATACAGTTAAACTGATGTATAAGTACTTAATAGTGCTGGTAATTGGCATATTTCATTATAAATTAAACTTATACATTATACATTAATTTATACACCACATTATAGAAGTATCATCAAAAAACACGGAAAATCAGTCTTTGTGTAAACATCCGACTTATTTGCATTTGTTATTTTAATCTAATCATAATACAATTTAAAATGTGATTATGTGATTGATGCATGCACTAATCATTAATAAGTCGGTCCTACTAAGTCGCACTAGAAAATAAAAATAAGTCATTTTTATAAATGTTTATTTCACATCAGATTTAATCTCAGTTTTTATATTATCCAAGTCATAATAATTTGATGATAAGCAATAATAAAATAATTGTAAGATTAAAACCTTACAACATAAATAAAATAGTTATCTAAAGTTGCATTATATAAAGTTATTTAAGATTACAATATAGTATCATCATTATCGCTATATTTATATTGTATATACCACGTACCACTAAAATATAGTTTGTTTATAATAATTTTAAATAACATTTTACGAATGCATTCATATTTTTTGTTTCGTTTGCAATTTAAAATACTATATTGTACTATATTAACTATTCAAAGACGACTTTGTTCAATTATTTTTATTATTTTGTCGAGTTCTAATGAATAAATACATTTTAATGAAAATAATAATATACTATAGGTACCATATGTATGTATATATATATTTAAGCCATAGAGGAGAAATATTTAATAATGATTTTATTGTCAGTTTTGAAATACAGTCGAGGCAAAAGTACTTAATAAGTAAATTGTACCTAAATCATTGTTAAACCAACAATATTTTACAGGTAGTTTATTTGTCTAAATTAATAGGATTTTTATTTCACTGTGTCAATAACGTATTTTGAAATTCGTAGGGAGGTTGTCAAAAAATAAATAATAGTGTTAGTAATTCCATTGAATATTTATTAATAATTGTTAGTAAAGTTAAATTGTATACTAAATTGTTTTTTATGAAAGTGTCTCTAATGGGTGTCTTCTTTCCACAAACGATTCATGTACTTTTTAACTTATAGTACTATTTTTTCTTTCTTAATGGTTTAAATTAGATATGTTTAATACCTTATTATGTTATTCCTTTATCGCATTAACTTATTGTGCCAAGGAACAGAATTTAAATTTATTAAAAAAAAAATTTTTTTTTAATGGGTTTTTAAACATTTATTTGTATGAATATATTATGAACTAGGTAGGTACTAGTGCTGTTTTTACTTACTAAACGATCCTTATAATCCGAGTAGCTAGAATATTTATGCTAAGAAGTATGATATTTGAATATAGCTTATAAAGTTATAAACATAAATTCATGTTGAGTTTTCAAAGATTAATATTTCTACAATCTTGAGTATTTGAGTAGGTAGTTATTGTGAAGTATAAAATTTGGTTAGGGACTATTTATAGGTAGTATGTTTTTTCAAAGCTTAAGTGAACATTACACATTATTTATAAGTAAATACTAGTATAGCAGATACAGACAGAACACTTATAGCAAAAGAAAGAAGTTATTATATTTCAGTAAAGATGACGATCAAAAATAATTGTATATATTAAAATAATTTAATGCAATTATTGTTATTTATTATTGGTAACAATAGGTATATTATATATAAGTCTACTAAGGATAAAAAAAATTATTTAAAAAAACGTTATAGAATCATTTCCAAGAACATAATAGTAAATTATAATTATAATAATTATGAATTATATAATTGAATTACATTATTCATAAGAGAGTAGGGAGCTAATTACCTAATAAACTAATAAATAAATAAAATATATCAATGCAGTATATTTAGGTACCGCTGTATTAGGATATGGGTCCTACACTTATCTTTAGATGTAAACCATATAAATGCAAGAATCTGCCCAATCGGTCAGTATACATTTTTAGCCTTTATTCACACAAATAGTTGTACTTTGTATTATGCGTGATTTCAAAATATGGAATAAAAAATAAACTTAAGTTCTAAGTTGTATAATGATTACAAACAAAAATACGTGATGTCTCATGTCTGCATGCGCCATTAGCATTTTATAGTTTTATTCTTATACTCTTATATCACTCCTCTATTGACGTTTGACATTAGGCCGAATTATAAGAACCATCTAAGTACTCGTATAGGTAGGTATCACGTGAGTGAACCTTATTTGACCTTACAGCTTATTTAGCTTAAACTAGCATACCTAGGATTTTTTTTTATTATCAAACGCCATATACTTAGAAATGAATAATTATGGAAACTGTTTTATATTATATAAATTAGAGACATGGGTTGTTTGCTCGGAGTATGTGACCGGTGAAAACTTGTAATATAATATATTATATTATACGAATGTTAAGAAACTGGTTCTTAGTTTTAACCTGAATTTTTGGATAGCAAAAGAGAAACAAAGTGGTTTTTTTGATTTTGACACTTGATTTCATAATTCATAGGCCTTACATTAGGATTTAGGTGCATGTATAATATATACAATGCATTTTAAGTTTGAACCGATGACGATAAACGATCATGGATTTTTTATACGTAGGTAGATCTTCCTCTGTTGAACATTTCGAAATCAACTGTTTATTTTGAAAAGAAAAACAACAATTTTACTATGCGTGTTTATTTTTTTTTATTTGATTAAAAAGTTTTATTCGTTTTTATAAATATACAAATAATATAAATTCTATACTAAAATCCATTACTATTGCATCTTGTTAGTGTGTATAGTTATGCATGTTTAATTATTTATCAAACAATTAATCAAAATGGTTTTAATATTGTAAACTGACTTACCTAAATAGGATAGGTATGATGGGTATAATATAACTATATATATCTAGGTATGCTAATAGCTGTAGGTATTTAAAACAAAAATCTTATACGAAAAATTAATTGTAAGATATTATATTTTTGATTTTTGATTATTACTACATTCCTATATACATTATATATATAGTATAAAGTATATGTAGTATACTAGTATAGGTTTATTATAATATTATAATACATGTATTATATTACCATACCTACTAAAAAAAAAAAACGAATAGGCTTTCTAGAATCAGCCACGCCTCCAATATTTATATACATAGTTTGCATTAATTTATTCCAGTATACACGTGATACGTCGGTGCACTGCACTACTGCAGTTACCAATATTTAAGTGTGCGATAGATTACGCAGGGCATATTTAACAGTATATGTAGGAGGTACCTATATTATGTAGTTCCTATTTACTTACTAATTACCAAGTGATTAGAGTACATATTTTTAGACTGTGAGTTGTCCACCCGTATTTGTGTAGTGCCAGGTAATTGTTTTTTTTTTTTTTTTAAATCATAATATATTTTTATTATATTATATTATATTATATTATATTATTATGACTAAGGCAGAGGACTTTTAGCTCTAAAAAATCACCAAATATGCACTAAAATGTACAAAATATGCATTGAAAATATACATTTTAAAATTATTAGGCATATTATTATAATGCATTAAAAATAAGCATTAAAAAATAAGATTATTTGTGTGAACATATTTTATTTAAACTTTGATGTCTGCGACTGACGTCCCTGTGGCCCGTATTGATAATATCTTATGCAGTGAACAATATATGTACATAAATAAAACTAATAACAGGAAAATAAATATATTCGGCAATCTTTGAAACGTGTCTCTGTAGGAAAAACATGCGTGTGGGAACAGTCAACAACCATATTAATGTGATCAAAATTTTAAATAATTTTAAATTCAACATTATTTTGGTTGTATATTAAATATTTAAATTAAATAAAAACGTCGAAGGTAAAAATATTGATAAAATGATAAATTATTGAAAATATGCATCTTAACTTATAGAATCGAAGAAATATGGACTAAAACCAAAAAAACTCGAAGTATTCATTTAAATGCAAAATAAAATTTCAAAACTAGCTTGTTTCAGCATGAAACGTATTTGTTTCTTACTCTGCTATTTCTGTGATCGTGCAAAACAAATATGCAAATGCTACAAGTCCTCTGCCCTAATTATGACTATGATCACATTAGATATACATATATTAATTAAAAAATATAAATCTTATGTACATAGGCCTGACCACATGCATCGTTTTTTTTAAGTGTTCGATATTGTAGACACTAGATATAGCATGTTTCCATAAATATTCTCCCTATACCCACACATATATTTCGAAGTTTGAACCGACAGATGAGGACCCACGAACCACGTTGCACTATCGAAATCAATTTGTGACTGTCGTAGTAACGAAGTCGTGGAAAATAAACTCCACTTTTGACACAGTACCTAATTAATAATTACGCATAACCTGCTCTTGGCGGGCATAGTACATTGCTCGGGTACATATTATGCTCGCAGCGCGCCGAAGTCAACACCATAAAATCCTCGTCCTTCGCCCGACGAGGCAGTCGTTGCTCCAGTAAGTTTTACTCTAACACTCTAAGGACTCCAGTAAGTAATTATAGTAATTACACATGGCGCAATATACCAATTATACCCATAATACATTCAACATTGTATATAGGTATGTGTCAATATTATATTTAGGGAAGAAGAGTTTTTTTGTTCGTTCGTTTCTCTCGCGACCGTCATACGACTGGAAATTACGTATAGGTACACGAAAAAATTATAAAATACTGTCTATACCCCGCTGTCTTTCTATATTTATTAAATATATATAATAAACGTTTATATTAAATAAATTGTAGTGTACGCCCGTCTGGCGTTTAACCGTATACATTATACTTACTACGCCTAAAGAGTTTATTTTTAAAGACGTATTCATTTCTTGTCGGCCGAAAAACTTGTCAACGATCCACCTTTCTTCCTCTCATTCTCTCTCTCTCTCTCTCCTTCCCAGTCTCTCTTTGTCGTTTTTTCAGTTAGAGCCCGTCTCACCAAATATCGTCTGTCGTACGGTGAACTGGCGTACGTACATGCTATATGTTGAACACAAAATGTTGTTGTAATAATAATAACTGTGTCGTAGACGCGCCTCAACTACACTATATAAAATATTTTAATAAACAGGACCATCTTGGAAAATAAATGTATAATTAAATACTGTGGTCGTTGTTTGCATTTCAGAGTTTGCAAGAAACAGCGCCCAAACTCCAGTCGATCGTATTTTACAAAATGTCAAAGATGAAAGAAGCACAGGATAATAAGTGAGTTTTATTAATAATTTTTTTTTATTCACACGTTTCTTCGTTTTCTTTGTAATAATGTGTATACCTAAAGATTATAGCCAAATTGTAGATGAAATATACTTTGGTATATTATAGCTGGAAATAATGTAATGCGATGGTTGATAACATTATTATATTTTATATACACAATGGAATTTTTAAAATATTTAGATTCATTTTATGCTATAATTCATACCCTAGATGAACCTATTCAAACTTTTCTACGGGAAAATCTATTATAACTAAAAAGTTAACAACAATAATATATGAAATAAATATAATATTTACTATTATAAATTATGATTATAAAATATTAATAATATAAAGAACGTAATGTGTGAGGCAAAAATTAATTTAAAAAATCTTAGTTTAAAAGTTAACTATAAAAAAAATGTATATTGTTATTTGTTATATAGTTTTATAAAAACGATATATTTGTGTATATTAAATTAGTTTAAACCACTGCATTTGGGTACATAGAGAGAGCTAGACATAAAGCTACTATATTTTAGGGTGTGCTCTGTAGAACTCTCATAATGTTAGCTGCATCAATGAATTAACAAATTGACACTAATGAAATACATCCTTCAATTTTTACCCGAGTAAAAAATGTCTAGTTTATATTGTTAGACAACACTGTGGGACTACTCTGAGATTTTGTTGGACTTTATTTTCGACAGTAGACATTTTTTAAATTGTGCTGTTGGATTAGAAATTTTCTAAATAAAAAGATGAATTATTTTTTTTAGGTACCGAATGGAAGCTCTGTTTCGCAAACAGGTACATTTGTGATTTTTAATTTTCTAAAAAATACGTTTGCAGATATTCTGCGTAATTTTGAGAACAATTTTTGAATTTTTAACAGTAGATTAATAGATTAATAGTTTTTTTACAAATAAAAAAAAAGAATTTACCTACCTACATGTAAGTGAAAAGTTGCAAAAATTTAAAAAATCCCCAAACCAACATTGCAATATACTCTAGTTTAGTGGACAATTTGCGACTTAGTACATAGTTACGATTGATGATACATATATTTAATTTATTTATTGTTTGTAGTTACTATACATAAATTGTACAATATGGGATTTTAATTTATTGCGTTGTCTTAAAAAACGTTAAGGAACCGGGAATTTAGTGAGTTCGCATAATGAGCTTTCCCGACTTGTTTTCTTCAATAAATATCAATAAAAAAATTTTTACTCGGTTAAATAAAAGGTTTAAAATGTACATAGATTACCAATATATGTTATATTACTAATAAGTTACATCTATATACTTGAATTAAAAAAAAAAAATTGAGCCACAGTAATTTTTTATGAGCGCCTGTAGATAGAATTTCAACTGATGTATATATTTTTAATACATACTGTTATAATATTTAAATATTAATAACGTATAATAAATTCAATATTTTGGCAAAAATTAAATCAACCTAAGTCCTACGCTTACCGTAATGCAAATTTAGTAAAATAAATTAGTTTAATAACAATATCTAAAGCCACACAATTTAATGTACTTTGTGATATCTGAAAGTCTTCATTCAAAATTGTATACTGTATGAAATAATTTATTATTTATTATTTATTCGAATTCAAATCTATACAACACATACGCATTACGGTGACTTAAGTAATTACTCATAATATGACGATTTATACTCGATATCTACTGTACAGCAGAGTGGTTACCTACTTCCTAATTTGTATTATTAAATGTACTATTAGGTATGTAGTATGGGTATAGTTTAGGTATGTACTTATTATGTATGATATATATATATAGGTACAAGTATAATAGATATATGGTATTTTGTATGATTAATTTATTCCATGATAATATTAGTTTGTGAATTTTTTTATGATTTTATTGTTTACATTTTTAAATAAATAATACTACCATATTAGAACCATTTCCATAGTATAAATAGATAATATCTACACTTATACTTATTTTATCGTTATTTATAATATTATGCTCTATTTCTGAGGTTTGCCTAATTTAGACTTTTGCCCGTAACATGTATATAATTATGCGTATTTAAGTACCTAATTAAATAATTATGTTTATTCCTTTTCGATTGTAAAGAAAAATACAAATTGTTATTATACATTTTAAGTTTAAGTGTATATAGTATAGGTTTAAATATATAGGCATAAGTATATTATAGGTTTTATGGTCAAATTGCTTGGTTTTATCGCTTTAGCTCAAACAATTATATTTTTGAATCCCGATGCAAAATGTATTGATACTGTTGTCACATTGCTTTTCATTAGATATATAAACAGTTGTCGTACTTGATACATAGATACATATAGACCTATCGTTTGATTTATATTATATAGTATATAGAGGATGAAGTCTATATTTATATATAACCTTAATCTGCTATATCTTTTCCCGTTGTTAATCATTCTTGTAAAATAATTTATTAAAAATGTGTACCTATGTATAAGTGTGTGATAATATTATATGTTTATTTTCACTTCAAATTCATTTCAGACTAAGAACATTCAAAAATCAAGAAAAAAGTGAAGTCGCACACTTGAATGGCATCGACTACTTTGACCCATTCCTCGAGAGAAACTTGGAACACCCAACCACGTAAGAACTAAGTGTAGAATCTATACCAATAATACCAGATCCACTCTTAGAAATTCTAAGACCCGAGGAACTATCATTGTGAGGCTATTTTGTAGTTCTTCCCCAACATATAACATTGAAAATACATTTTTATTCGTATTTATAATAAGGATTTGAATCAAATAAAATGATATATTATGTACTCGTAATATGTATAACCTTTATATTTAATTTAAAACGTTACCAATTGCAATACATATCTTAAAAAAATTAATTTAAATACCGCGTGTTTACTGTTTAGTTTATTTAATAACTATTAACTACTAGGTACAAGAAATGAAGGAAATTATTTCAGAAACAAAAGAAAATGGATGCATGTAAAGCATTTAAAACATAAATTTAAATAGTTTTTATTTTAAACATTTAATCACTACACTTTAATACGAATAACAAATCACAAAAATAATTAATACAATAATAAACCAATCAAAATAAGAACAATTGATTTAATCAATATTTGTACATTTTTACCTTTATATAAATTCAATATTATATAGTAGGTTTACTAGGTATCTGCGTATATAATTAAACATTATCAATAGTAATAATAATAATAATAATAATTTATACAATAATTATTTCAATTTTTGCAGCAACGGTGAGACCTTGACTCATTTACTCAAAGCATCCCTGGGAACTGGCATCTTGGCCATGCCGCTAGCTTTCCAGTGTTCGGGACTTATAACCGGCGTATTCGCAACTGTGTTTGTGTCATTCGTTTGCACGTATTGCTCGTATTTACTGGTTAGTTGTTGAACATCTTAACTATTATATATACATATATTTTTTTTAGTTAGGTTTTTATAACATTTATAAGAATGAGACAAACGTCAGTCAAACGTATATTGATTAACTACATAACAATGCGCACAAAGTACATCATAAAACCAAGGGTTATCGTCCATCGGTTTTATTGTATATTATTAATTTTCAAGTTGGACTATTTTTGTTTTTATTATGACGTCAAAATAAATGCATTTTATAGAAGAAAAATAACTAAACAATTTTTTTATACATTTTTGGGTACTTTATAATATTATGTATAGGGTCTATTAGGTATCTATCCATGATTAACTTGTTAAATGTCTTATAATATTTTCATAACCTTCCAAATATGCATTCTAGTTGTTCACTACACACCCTATTAAATTCTACGCCTATTGGTAGATATATAACGATGATTTGTTGATATTTTTTAGTCAAGTAGTTATACACACAAACAAAACTTGTTACAAAGTAATATATATTATTTAGTTTATACAGGGCATAGGTACTAGCTATACTGTACATACTACTATGCGTCTATGCAGTATGTTAGATTATTAAATTGATTATTATTTTTTTTTTAAGTGAAAACTTCTTTAGGCGCGTTTAGCACATTTTGTGGGTACTGAATTGAACTGAGCTGTCACGCTCGGCTATGTAACACTCATTCGGGTGAAGTCGGTTTAAGTTGACCTAAGCATGAGAGGAACAGTCATCAGAGCCAGAGAGAAAGATTGTGTATTTCAAATTATTAATTTCGCCTTGTTGAAGTTTTCACTTCTGTCTTGTAGTCTTAGGCACATAGATTTTTTTTAGTTATATTATTAACTATTAAATAATATTGTTAACATAATTAAATAGTTGTTAAATTATGTAATACCTACTCAGTAGCTAATACATACCTAAACACTATTGTTATTCATTTTGAAAAAGTGGTGTTGAAGACATTTTTCAAAAATAAGTTTATTGAATTGAGTTGGTTTTAAATACATTTCATAAAATAATATTTGTGTAAGAAACGCTAAAAATATTATATTGTTGTTATAGCCTACATAATATATGTGTTATTAGTAATATATAATGTAGCGACAACATATGAAGTTAATATAGTATACAAGTATACAACTATACTCTTTAGTCTATTAGTCTGTAAATTTTCAGTTGTCTAGCGAGTATAGTCAGTATAGATTTTATAGTATATACATTTTATTATATTATATATTAAATATGTATTTTATACTAAAGTATAGCCTATATAGTCTATAGCTTAAAGGTAGTCTTTAATATAGGTACTTTTATAGACATTATAGACTATACTATTTCACTTCCGATTTAAAATAATGTTCTTAGATTTTTTCCGCATTGTCATGAATTGTCGTTATATTTTACAGGTGAAATGCGCTCACACTCTTTACAGGCGGACAAAAGTGTCATCCATGAGCTACGCGGATGTGGCTGAAGTGGCGTTTGCCAACGGACCAGCATGGTCTCGAAAGTTCTCGTCTCTAACCCGGCAGTCTGTGCTCTGGCTGCTGTTCGTCACATATTTCGGGACGTGCAGCGTGTACACAGTGATCATTGCCTCCAACTTCGAACAGTTATTCACATACCACATGGGTTATGAGCTGAACCTCCGGTACTTTATTGGAATGCTGCTGATACCGCTTATATTGCTGAGCTACGTGCCCAATCTCAAGTACTTGGCACCTGTATCTATGGTGGCCAACCTGTTGATGGCCACCGGTCTGGGCATCACATTTTACTATACACTAGGTGGCATGCCCAACATAACAGAAAGGCCAGCCGTGGGGACATTTGACACGTTCCCAACGTTCTTCTGCCTCACTGTGTTTGCCATGGAAGCCATTGGAGTGGTACGTTTTGCCGTTATGTATTATCGAAAAGTACTTTAAATTGTATGGTAAAAAATAGATATCTGCAAAAACGATTTATAGGTATAACTATAATATCTACAGTAAGCTTTGAAGTATAATATTTCAAATGGAGAAAAAGTCTTATGAAAATATTTTTTTTAATACAATTAGAAGCATTTTTTTGATATTACTATTATAAATGACTAAGTTTATCTATTAAATATAAATATTTAGGTATGACTAATTTAGTTTTCATCGACGCGTACATTTTTTATTTCTTCTTTTAAATAACAACGATATTTTAATTTTAATAATTGAAGTAGGTACTGCACTAATCATCATAGGTTAATACCTAATTAATTATCAATATTTCGACGAAATAAGTTGGTCGACAATAAGCTATTTTATAGATTGCTCCTTTCCCGGTAAATACTAAAATAGATTTATAAAGTTTTTTTTCTTAAACAATAAAAAACTTGTATTGCTCATATTATTTTTTCTGTTCGTCTTCATGTCTTATATTTTTTATTGAAGGTGATGCCGTTGGAAAACAACATGAAAACGCCCAGGAACTTTTTGGGAGTTTTTGGCGTACTGAACGTCGGCATGGGTGGCGTGACCATTGTGTACATTCTGCTCGGTTTCTTCGGTTATTTGAAGTATGGCGAAGAAACGAAATCAAGTATAACGTTAAACCTACCCACTGAAGATGTGTGAGTGTAACATGGAGCACCTTAACTTTATATACCTGTATAGCTCAAAATTGTTTTTCTCTGTAACTCTACCCGATTTACAATAATGTTACTTCCAAAATATCTTTCAATAACAACCACCCCCTTCACTTTATTTATTTAACATTTTTATAAAACCGAAAGTTTGTGCATTAAAACTAATATAATTCCACATCATTACATCAATGCTTCTCGGACTTCAGAAATTTGTACTGTTGACAGCATATTATTAATGCAGAAATTCGCTAAAATATATATGACGCATATTAGGTAATAAAAAAATGTCATTTATTTGTTAATTAGGAACATATTAATGACTGCTGATGATTGTTCTCGAAACAACATTTTTTTTATACACATTTATTTGATAGCTTTCTATAACCACATCTCTAATTTTTTTTCCGTGTATCACGACTTCGGTGGAAATAGTCATATATATTCTATATTTCTATTTTTGTGATATTTGAGATAAACTATTACCTACGCTGTTCAATGTCAAATCGGATTTTTTTACTTTTGGCTTAAAATATTTTAAACACAACTATCAGTAGTTCACCATACTTATTTTACTCAACGTTTCCGTTATTGTTTTGCAATATACTTGAAAACCGAAAATCTATTGAGTGTGCAAAATTTGGTTTTTTCAAAAATATTATTTTTAACATAATATTATAATAATCTACTCTGATGTGTAAAAAATAAATAAATACGGCAACGTTGTAGGCACGTATTTCTGTGCTAAATCGTATAGTATTTTGGTATTTATTGGATTCATATAGTTTTGATTGCATCTATATGAAAAACATTTGTGAATCGACTGAATCAAGTCTCAACGTTTGTTTACAAAAACGTATAAAGTTATGTACAAAATGAAATTGTGTAGGGGGGCATTGTGGCTGTGAATCAGTAGATTGTAGTATTATGATGTACCTAATGTGTTAACAATTAATTCATTTTTTGTATACATCATTTTACGAATCAACAGACTCTAAAAACCTTGTTTTTGTACCTCTAAACAACTCATTATTATGTATCTATATCCTTTGCTACGAGCTGGTATAGTAACTACTAACTTTAACATTTTAAAGTTTGTGTATATGTTTACAGTGCCGCCCAGGTGGCTAAAATATGCATCAGTTTAGCCGTGTTCTGTACTTACGGTCTGCAGTTTTTCGTTTGCTTGGAAATCACATGGACCAAAATCGAGGAAAACTTTAAAAAAGCCACAATTTTCCACAACTACGTCTTGAGAACGGTTCTGGTGACTGCTTCTGGTGAGTAACGCTGGTACAGTACGTACATTTTGTTTGCAGGCTTCTGCTGTTCGACTTTTTACTTGTTCTATTTTGAAAGGCAAAATAATGTATTTTACAGTTTGAATCATTTATAAAATTATAAATGGGTCACATTCTCAAAATAGTGTTACTTAAATAAAAATATTTTTCTTTTCTATAATTCCCATAGCAACACATACAAATTTTTGTTTTCTGAAACCTATGACAACCATATATCTATATAAATAGGTACTATAGATATATGTTTTTAAGTATTATAGTGCAGTGAAAACATATGTTGTGGCATGCAACATTTTAATAATAATTTATGAAATAAGAATTATAGATTGATTTTAATATATTGTATACATTATACATATATATTTTCATTGATTTCCGTTTCTATGGCAATAAACAAATCATAATCTAAAAAAACGGTTAGAAAAAAAAATTGCATTCAGCCCGAAAACATATAATATAGGTATATTAGATATTGATAATATTATTATCTATATGGTAATAGACAAATATTTGATTTTTGTAAGCCATCCATTATAGGGGTTGAAAAACAAATCTATTATCACTTTCCGAGTGTCGAGAAACTGTTTAAAGGAAGAAGAATAATGTATGGGGACTGTCGTAGGTTTTTACTAAAATTTTAATTTTAAAGTTGGTTATAAATGTTATAATGCATTGTAAGATATTACAATTTTCAAATGACCATTATCATTTGCAGAAAAAACGTAAATATTAATAAACACACACGCAATAACCTAGATGATATTCTTACCTTTAAATTTTAAAATATTTCAAATCACTATAATATACTTTTAACAATAAAAAATTAGCTCTGCTGAACTTAAATTGTCTATGTTGTACAATTGTATGGCGGAGGTAACAAATGCTCTTGAATAGGTTTCCATGTTTTTATAGATCTAGACTTTCAGCAGACGCATATGAATTGTAGCCAAAAAAAAAACTATTTAGGGCTAAGTACCCCATTGACTGCAACTATGAATAATAATTTTATAATTAATATTTAAATAATAACAATGTCTTGTTGTGGATTTTGCAGTTGTGATCGCGGTGGCTGTACCGACAATCGGTCCGTTCATCGGGCTCATTGGTGCCTTCTGTTTCTCACTGCTCGGCATCGTGGTGCCCTTGTTCATAGAATTTGCCACGTACTGGGATGAAGTGACCGTCTGGATGACCATCAAGAACGTTTTACTGATAGCCGTCGGCGTCTTGGCACTGGTTTTCGGCACAGCCAACAGCATAGCCGATATAATCGCCGCGTACGATCCCGCTCAGGCCGTCAAGTGCGCCATAAACTCCACACTGACTCAGCCAATCGCAGAATAACCGGAAATCCGGCCACATCATCGACCACCCAGCCACATAGAATTCACGACATAATATATCGTTCGATAGTTACATATGTATAATCATAGGCGTAATACTAGGTGCATTTTGCAAGGGCCAAATACAACCCCCCTTCCATAAAAAAAGGCCTATTATACTTTAAACACCTAAAATCATGATTAACTTAATAGTAAAATTTCAAGATAACATATTTTTGTATGTTATAATAATATTTGAAAGACATATAAAATGCTGCAGTAAAAATAGATTGTGTAAATCGTGTATTTTTATACTTTATTCATATTAGGTATATATTTTTACCAAAAATATTTTTAATACCTAAGATAATAAAAGTTAGTTATTTTCAATAAAATTGATTATTCAGCAATACAACAATTGTGTAAATAATATAAAGCTTACAAACAACAGTTTTTTTCATAAATAATATATATATTATAGTCACATTAGAAATATTGTATTAAGACTGGCAATTGTGGCACTTGCAAACGAAAATACTGACTACGACTATGTACATATATATTAAAGTTATTGAACGCTTTTACTCGTATTTAAAATGTATAATTTGTGGTTGGGATGGTCCTTCAGCAATTAATGGTCGTCGTCGTTTTGTCGACCACGCGCCCCTCGAACACTACGTGAATGTGCATAGGACCTGTCATCGATACATAATATAATAGGTGACAGGCATACATAATAATATTATTTTTAAATCATATTTGTTTAAAAAAACATTTTTTATAATTTTTTTTTTTAATTTAAAATTTTTTTCTAGACATGATATCAAACTTAGGATTTGTCATTTTTATTCTTAGATATTATGATCGTACAATTATTATTTTTTTATTCGATTCAAACAGGCTTCTTATTATATGATAATTTAACTATAAAAATAGTTTCCTCTTTCTTTTTATACATTATATATTATTAAGTACTTAACTCAATAAATATTATATTACAATTATGTGTTATTATTTTTATACTTGATAATAATTTATATATAATATAACAATATTGACAAAAAGATCCACTTATGTTTTTCTTAAATACCAGGTTAAAATAAAATCAGAATATCGGATCATATTTTATGGTAAATTTAAGTTATTAAAAAATGTCTGTATTAAAATTCAGTCATGCTACTCATACAGTTGTCTGTTAGTGATATGTCATCAAGTATACTGAAGCATAAAATTAGCTCCATCGTTGATGGTTCCTTGGAAATTTCCAGTTTTTTTTCTCAATAATAAAATGGCCAAAAACCGTGCAAAACTTGAACTTTTACACAAAACCAATTTTCAAGAAAGATCTATTATACTTTTTTTATTTAATGTACATAATTTTAAAACCTGCTACCATTATATGTCTCGAGTCTCAACTATCATATTTTTTGACAGTCAAGTAGTAAAATGAAACCAATTAGGCTAAGTACTGTGTTCAAATTTTGAACTATTATTCAGGTAAGTATGAAAAAACAATACAAACAATGTAAAATATAGAAAGCCCGATCAAAAATAAAATAAATTGCAAAAAAACTAATTAATATTAAAACAAAATATATCTATTAGATGTAAAAAAAGTTTTATACACGAGTAATTTTTAAAAGTAATCTCAAACAGGTAGGTATTATGCAACTCCATCTTTGTTGATTGAAATTTCAATTTCAATTTTGTTCCTTTTTTCATCAGAAGTGTAAAGAGGCAATACTTCTACACTCGTAATAAGAATCTGTCACTTTAGCATAAATATAATGTTCGCTATAATAATGTAAAACTATGTCTAAAATTACACTATTTACTTTTTCCAAAAAATATAACAATTTAATAAACAAATATTTATAACATTAACATTATAATGTCATTTTTAAAAAAATTAAATAATAATATCTTCATTTTAATTTATTACAATTTTAAAGAAAGTTATAACCTATGATACTATTCTAAATATACGTATAAAGACATTCTCAAAGAAAAGTAAATATTTGAGATGTTCGAGTGTTCTGATGACCGATTCCCAACTTTACATTTTTTTCGCGATAATCACAGAACAATAAAAATCCAGCACGTCTGACTAACAGTGCTGGTATTTTGTAAGTTATAACTTTAGTTGTATTGTTCTTCCCATCGCTAAACAACAATATAGAACCCCTTTTAAGATATATGCATTTAATAGAATATACATTTACTTGTAAACACATCCCGATGATCTCAGAGCACCTTCCAAAGAAAAAAAAAACCTGATCTGCACAATTGTAATATATTATAACTATATCCTACATAAAGTATCAATTATTTGGTATAACTGTACATAATCTTCTTTTAAACATAGTTAAAATATAAATATCATCAAGCCAAACACCCCTAAACACACCTTTGTAAATTTTTTTATCTTCAAGTAGTAAGGACGATTGGCGATGATTACACAGTTATGGCAGTTATTCATTTTTAATATAATTTTACAAAATATTAAGCAGAGAATGAATAATAGTAATATATAATAAAATATATAGCACTCATTTATGCAACTAACTCAATTCTTTAAACAAAGCTTTTTAGCGATATTAACTGCAGTTAATTTGAAAAATAATAATTAGTAGATAGGCATGTTTATTTTATTCTCCATATTAACTTTAGGTACTCTTTTAGAGTTAAATACGTTGTTTGCAAACTATTAACTTAGTTATACCTTAACGTAGGCAGCTGAAGTTAATTTCTTTCAGTAACTTGCACACCTATATAGACATGGCAATTATACCTTGTACATTCCATAAACTATTATGTCCTACGTCCCTACGACGTCGTCCAAGGGAAACTTTCGAGAATACTTTTACTCCCACGTATTTTATTCAAGCGGACCTGTTAAAAAAATGTATATTTTTGAACCCAAGTTAACTACATACAAACCAATACATTAACCAATACAAATATTGGAGAAGAAAAATATATAATATTATTCGATTATATATGTTACGATAAAAGTATGGTAAAACCTATATTATATATAATTTAAATGTGTGTATCTAATATACTAGTAAGTAGTAGCTAGTATATTGTATATCGGTACCTAAAAAATAATAATAAAATAAAATTTTACTATAAAATAATTATAATATACGAGTACAAAGCAAAGAGAAAAAAAATCACACAATAATTATAGTAAAACATTTTGGACTTTCATAAACACTGGTTGTTTATTATAAAATTTGCCAAATCTCGTTTGTAAAAGTCTGAACAACAAAAATCATTCGAGCAGAGCTTGCGCTAAAGAAATATAAGAGTTGCACAAATTGTTTGTTTTACAGAAGTAAAAAAACTTGATGTTCGCTTCGCTCTCACATAATGAATAATACATACTATCATATATATTAAATAATATTATATTATACGTCATAATATATGAATATTAACAATTAAAATAACAAATTCCTTTAATCAAATTTTAAAATGATTTTATTTTTTACGACAACCTCTTCATCAGTATCACCACTATCACCACAGTTTTAGAACCGTTGTATGCCCGTAGTCTTAATCTTTTGATAATCATAAATAAATAGGTGTTTACTATAGCAATGTTTTAATCATAATTTCTAATAATTTCAGAAATCAAAATGTCAAATCGTTACAAGCTCAAAGCCATAATATAAAATTAATTATTAAAAATTCAAATCATAATATTTTTTATGAACTGCACAACATTTAAATAAGAACTACACATTTAAATTTAGAAATGCACATTTTATGCACAACTGCATCACATTAGTGCAAGCTCTGCATTCGAGGTTTGACCAAACTATTCGTGTATCCTAGGTTTTAATTTTATAGGTATCTAAGTATTCTTATATTTACCTGAATATACATAATATGTCATATATTTCCATATGTATTCTTAAGGAACATGGATGTAAGTTCCTGCAAAGCAGGAAAAATATTATTATTTGTAATTATAATTCATTTTCATACTTTTTATAGTACAATATACTTATATATAGGTATTTCATATTTTATATAGTATTATTATAAGTCAAAAATATCATAGTACATTTTTGTACATTTTAATAAAATATTTCGTTATTGTAAAAAAAAAATGTATTTATTATGTGGTTTATATATTTTATTATTCGTTACAAAAAAATATACTATGTTTCATATAATACTAATTTATGAAATTTAATTATATATGATAATACATTTTTCTGACTTGTAGCAACTTACATAGTTATGTACCTTTTTTGTGTAGTGTAAAACCTATACTTAGGTATTTTTTTTAACTGCTAGGTATTGGGTAGGAAATTACATTAGATCATTTTAGGTACTGTACTAGTAAGGTATCGGTTTTCTTCAGGTACTACACTATATTGTTGGGTATCGGGTATGTAATTATGTTAGGTTTATTATACTATTTGAAAATATTATACACAACTAGTATGATAACTGCCAACTGCAATAATTCGGGACCTCCCAGCACAAGCCAGGTTTTTAAGTATTTTCTACATTTTATCCTTTACCAACAAAAATGCATGTTAATTAAATTTATTTAGTTTAAAAATTTATAGAATTCATTAAATGATTAATATGGAACAAAAAAACGTATTGAATGTCAAGTTGAAATAATTTAATTGTATTTTGTACAATGTACTTATATGTAACATTTTGAACATTCACTCATCAAAATAAAAATGCATGAACAAAAATCGATTAAAATAAATTTAGTATATTTGTGTAACATTTCAAAGTTATATGAAGAGTTACGGTATCTAACTCAGAGGTTCCCAAACTGTGGGTCGCGCTATTTTTTTAAATAATACAAAAATATAATCATCTATTACTTTTCGTTGATGTTCAAAGTTCAAATTCAGTTTTATCGTCAATCCTTATCTGTGAGTGTGACAATTACGAGTTTACCAGCGGGGCCGTGTCAAATACTGTATATT